AGAGCGTGCCCACTGACCTGTGTCCCCCTCAGGGTGGCGGCCCTCCTTCCGCTACTACAGCAAGTGGGCGGCGCTGTTCGGGGCGGTCATCTCCGTGGTCATCATGTTCCTTCTCACCTGGTGGGCGGCCCTCATCGCCATCGGCGTGGTCCTCTTCCTCCTGCTCTACGTCATCTACAAGAAGCCAGGTGCGCGTGTCGGGCTGCGAGGGCCCGTGGCCCCCACTCCCCGGAGGCCACCAAGCAGGCCGTCCGACCCCTCAGCCCCCACACCTCACCTCTAGGCCCTCCCCTGGGCACCCAGGACCCCGCCTGCCCAGGCCCGTCCTGAGAGTGGGCCCTGGTGTACACACCTAGGCCTGAGGGTGGCCAGGTCCGGCTGACGGTAGGGCAGGGGCACGGCATGGCCCGTGTGCTGGGGTGTCTGCGTGCATGCCGGCAAGGATGCCGGGGTGACAGCCAGCAGGGGGCAGGTGCAGAACTCCAGGGAAACCCAGAATTCGATATCTGAACGCGGTCTTCAGGCCATTGCCCGGGTCTGTTTGTCAAGGGAGGGGGTCATTCGGCAGAGTTTAATATCTTGATGTACAACTTTTAAACAGGTAGCCGCACGGTATGTGCAAAGGTTAAGAACAGGTGCCAGGCGGCCTGCTCCCCTGGGTGCTGGGTTCTAAAGAATGCCACCCCCCCTCCTGTGTCTGCCTTCTCCCTGTGGTTCTGACCTCACGCTCCCCCGCTCCCCACAGAGGTGAACTGGGGCTCCTCCGTGCAGGCCGGCTCCTACAACATGGCCCTGAGCTACTCCGTGGGCCTCAACGAGGTGGAGGAGCACATCAAGAACTACCGGTGAGCACAGCTTCGGGCCCGGGACCCGGGCCACCTCCCCTGCCTGGGAGGCTCCAGGCCGAGACCTGTCCACTGACCAGGGCAGACCTGGGGTGGGCACAGCCCCCACCAGGGAGGGAACAGAGGTGCCCTGCTGGGGATCAGGGGGCGGGGTTGACATTGCCAACCAAGGGGACCAAGCCCGAGGGGTGAGCTCTCTGTATCTGAGAAGATGCTCTTTGCAGTGCGAAGGGCTCCATCAGGCCGACAGGTGGGGGAACGTCCACACAAGGACCCGAGAGGCTGGCTGAGAACTTTGTGAGGCGCAACCTGGCCACAGGCCTCCCTTCCCGCCCCCCTTCCCGCCAGATCGTCATGCTAACGATCGGCTCTATTTATGTTGCTTCGCTGCGCCAGTGCCCTACACCGTCCCACCACAGCCTCTGAGGCGTATGAAATTACTAACCCCATTCACAGACGAGCACGCTGAGGCACAGAGTGGTTAGGGAACTGACCCCGGGTCACCCAGCGGAGTGGCCAATTTTGTCTAACTGAGTCTGGTAGCTGCCCTTGACCATGACCCATGACCCTGGGCTGCCTCTAGACTCAGAGGCTGAGCCACCCACCCAGGTGATGACAGGGTGAGCTGGTACGTGACCGGCCTCCCCTCCACCCCCCCACCCCCATCTTTATTCTCCCACCACCGTGCTGGGCTGGGCAGCAGCACCAGGGGGAGTGGTGAAAAGGGTGGTTTGCCAAGTGGAGCTTTTGGTGGCCGGAGCAAGAAGGACAAAGGAGACCCCGTGTGGCGGCCACCGTGAAATCTGCCAGGGCTCGAGAGCCACCCTTGGGTCCCAGATGGGAAGATGAGGTCCAGTGTGCAGGGGCCTCCCAGAGGCCACACAGTGGTTCTAAGCAGGGAGGCCAGGAGCTGGTAGAAATCCGGGCCCCCGCGTTGGCACCCAGACCCCCGGGGGCTCTGTCCGGATGGTTCATCCCTTTCCCTTTCCCCTCCTCAGCCCCCAGTGCCTGGTGCTCACGGGGCCCCCCAACTTCCGCCCGGCCCTGGTGGACTTTGTGGGCACCTTCACGCGGAACCTCAGCCTGATGATCTGCGGCCACGTGCTCATCGTGAGTGCCCCCTGGAGGTGGGGTGGGGCTGTGCTCCTCAGGGGCCCGGGGCGAGATGTCCACCCACGGGACCCCCCCCCGCTCCTCTCCCTCCCCTACGTCCAGCCCAGCGGGCAGCCTCCAGGGCAGGAGAGGGGCTGAGTTTCAGGCCAGGGGCAAAGACAGTCCCTGATGTCACCTGTCCCCTCCCGCCCCAGGGACCCCGCAAACAGAGGATGCCCGAGCTCCGGGCCATCGCCAACGGGCACACCAAGTGGCTAAACAAGAGGAAGATCAAGGCCTTCTACTCAGACGTCATCGCCGAGGACCTGCGCAGCGGGGTCCAAGTTCTCATGCAGGTGCCCGGGCTCGGGGTGACCTGGAGGCAGGGCATCCTGGGGGCTGGCTGAGGACCCCGTTGCTGCAGCAGGAGCCCCACCTTCCTTGCCTCTCCACATAAGCCCCGTGGAATGCACAGGCCCCGGGAAACGGACTGGGAAGCCCGTGCGGGCTGTGCCACCTTGGGATCCTCTAGTCTTGAGTGTTCTTTTAAAGATGTAATTTACCAACGGCAACGTGGAAAAAAAAAAGTTAAGCATATGGTTTTCATATGGAGACCTACTCAGTGGTAGGAAACCACCAGGCAGGTCAAGGTTGCGAACATTCCCCTGGGCAAGTCGTTTTACTGCTAGGTTTTCTCATCTGTGAAATGGGCTCCATAGATGAATGACAGGTGTTGATTCTGACAATATATGGGCATCCCTTTTCATAGTTTTAAAGATTTCCCAAAGTTAAAAAAAAAAAAAGAACATGTAGGGTCTCCTTTTGGGGTTATGCCACCCCTTTAAAATGATTAACTTTGTTATCTGAAATCCACCTCGAAATATTAAATAATATTTTAAACATTAAAAAAACAGAGAGCTATCAAAGATATATGGGTTAGATGACCCAGGAATATGCCAACCTTGACACCCGTGTTCAAGCCCCTTATTGAGAAATAATTCGAGAGAGAAACAGGCGCTGGGATAATTAATCCAGGACAAATGGGACAGTCCAGTCACCAGCCAGGCCTGGACAGGCCACAGGGGGTCTTTGCCTTTCTCATGGTGTGTCCGGGCCGACAGGACCCTGGACAAGGGGGTGTATTTCCTGGGTCCTTTGCCACGTGGGGGAGAGAGCAGCTGGGCCGAGAGCCCCACTCTAGTCACAGACCAGGGCCCCAGGGGTGTGAGGCCTGACTCCCCACCTCGTCCCTCTCCGTGCAGGCCGGCTCCTACAACATGGCCCTGAGCTACTCCGTGGGCCTCAACGAGGTGGAGGAGCACATCAAGAACTACCGGTGAGCACAGCTTCGGGCCCGGGACCCGGGCCACCTCCCCTGCCTGGGAGGCTCCAGGCCGAGACCTGTCCACTGACCAGGGCAGACCTGGGGTGGGCACAGCCCCCACCAGGGAGGGAACAGAGGTGCCCTGCTGGGGATCAGGGGGCGGGGTTGACATTGCCAACCAAGGGGACCAAGCCCGAGGGGTGAGCTCTCTGTATCTGAGAAGATGCTCTTTGCAGTGCGAAGGGCTCCATCAGGCCGACAGGTGGGGGAACGTCCACACAAGGACCCGAGAGGCTGGCTGAGAACTTTGTGAGGCGCAACCTGGCCACAGGCCTCCCTTCCCGCCCCCCTTCCCGCCAGATCGTCATGCTAACGATCGGCTCTATTTATGTTGCTTCGCTGCGCCAGTGCCCTACACCGTCCCACCACAGCCTCTGAGGCGTATGAAATTACTAACCCCATTCACAGACGAGCACGCTGAGGCACAGAGTGGTTAGGGAACTGACCCCGGGTCACCCAGCGGAGTGGCCAATTTTGTCTAACTGAGTCTGGTAGCTGCCCTTGACCATGACCCATGACCCTGGGCTGCCTCTAGACTCAGAGGCTGAGCCACCCACCCAGGTGATGACAGGGTGAGCTGGTACGTGACCGGCCTCCCCTCCACCCCCCCACCCCCATCTTTATTCTCCC